CCATCATATGTTTGTTTCCTACTTTGACGGGAATGTGAAGTAGGCTAGAGCAACTTAAATAAACAGTCTCATTTGGAGTCATCGGGTGGGACTGATCACCCTCGTTTATTAGTTTTTTTTCTGTCGAATACTCCTGAGCTTCAGTGTCGATATTATTCACTCGACCTCTTGGAACACGCCAGGGCAAGTTATCTGTGCGAGTTGCGAGGTGGCTCGGTTCTCGCTGAGCGCGGCTTGACCAATCCGATTTACTCCGACTGAAACAGCTGCTTGACTCGGCGGTTATGCTTGTTTCCGAAGCTGATGGTATGTTCTGAAGACACGCGAGGAGGTCATCTAGAGTCTTTGGTGACAGTATTTGCACTTGCTTCAACACGTTAGTGTGCAATCCATGCATTATTAAGGCAACTACGGTCGTAGATGGAAGCAAAGGCTCCGCCAGCTTTAAAAGACGGCGTTTCTCAAAGAAGTACTCGACAAGGCAGCTTTGCTCAGACTTGAAATTAAGCGCCGTGTTCCATCTTTCTACTGGATTGCTTCGGAATGCAGTCAAAAACTTTTTCCTCCACTGGCTCCAAGAGTCGTCACTGTCTTCCAGAATGCATGTTTCATACCACTTTCGCGCAACACCTCTCAAGTAAACGCGCATGTTGGTGATTTTAGCCTCATCAGAGAGCCACTTGTTTTTTCCAGCGGCATATTCGTAGAAATCAAGCCAACTTTCTGGATTTGAAGACACACCGTCGAAAGCATCAGGTTCTACGAAATTAGGTGTCGGTCTCTCAGCATTCAGAGAGCTTATAAGAGATGTCATTATTTGGTTTTGTTGAATCATCTGTTCCTGTTGCAGCTGAAAAGCTTTCAAAACGAGGCTCACCTCTTCCGTCGAAGATCGTGATCCTGAGTGTTTTCGACGCGCTGGTTCAAGAACTAGGTCGTTGAAGGTCGCCACACGCAAGTTCACTTTCACAGCACCTTTCCGTCGTAGTTCAGTAGTGTCTACGGCTGCCTTTTCCACAACCAGGTTTACGAGTTCTTCCGAGCTGAGCTCACGAGGTAGGTCTACCGCTGCTTCGTCTTGAACTTGGTACTTCGAAAAGATGATCTCCTCGGAGGTCTCGTCTATGAAGAACGTCACCCACATGATGGCTTCGATGGCCGGCTGCGCCAAAATAATGTAGTGTTCCTACTTAAAATAACGGAACAGCATTAAAGCTTCAGTATGGAACTGGCGTCCATCTTAATCTGCTTTATTTTTCACTTCATCCTCCTCTTCTCTCCTGCCCCGGCCCTCGCGCTTCTTCATCTTCTGTCCAAAGGCTCATACCGCTTCATCTTTATTGCAGAATATTTAGCAGTAGTATTAGCCCTTCGAAAACTGCCAGCATCAGTTAATTCCACCGAACAGACTCCTTGTAGGTCTGCAGTGCGCTCACGGCATCTTGTCATTCGAAATCATTAGGTGTATTCAACTCCCTAGTACCGAATCACTTAACCCAGGTGCGATTAGTATGGGTGGCGGGGCATAGTGGCATAACCTTAAATGAAACAGCTGATGCACTAGCGAAAGTGGCGTTAGACGAACCAGCTATCAATATTACCACTACAACAGCCTTTATGGTAGCGTCTAGATTTCGGAGACAAATGATGATGCGAGAATTTTCTACACCATCTTTAAAAAATTCTATTGATTTCAAACATCTAATGACACCCTGGAAAACTTCCTCATGTCATAACCAATGCCTGGAAGTTTTAATCGCTCCATTACGGTGTCGTATTCCTCCATTAAATTTTTATAGGTTTAGAGCAGGCTTGACTCCCTCCCCACTTCGTTCTTTTTGTGGAAAAAACTGTGGAGCACTTTTTGATTTCTTGTAGAAAGTTTTCAACATTATAAAAGGTATCACTAGAAATACCGTTACGAATCCTTGGCTTAGCTTTCACAACGTCAGACTTACTATCCCTAGGTGATCATAACCTAGGACACAGCCACGGCAAAGTGTGCGCGGCCGTGCAAAGTTTCATTGTACAGTCTAAAAGATTTACTTAATAACCTCAATACCAAACGGTTCTCAGTTAACTCATGTAGGCTACTGAAAAATTTTCTTTGACATCAATCATTCATTGCTCAGTCAGTAGGAGCTAATTCATCAAAATTTTTTCTCAAAAATAATTTTAAAAAAATCAATATTTTTGTTAATTTTTTTCACCAGTATTTAAATATATACATTCACTTTTTTTGTCAAGCTACCCGATTCTTGGCCGATCCCTCAAGGTGGGTGTGAGCCACAAGTTTAGGATCTACATCTACATCTACATCCCGCTTGGATGGCTGGCCCACTAAGAATGGTGTTGCTCATTTGCGAACCTCATTCCGTGACGAAAATAACGTCGGGTGAATTCATAAATGAGCTCGATATAAAAGGCTTTTATTTTCAAAAAATATGAAGGCAGGGGCTATTTGCTGCTATTCATAGTACAAAACTCAGAGAAAGAAAAGAAAACAAACCATGGGGTAATGGTGTCACGAGTGGTCACGACAAAAGCACGACAAAAGCATGCATGCGTTGTGAGTGACGTCGTGAATGACGTCACCACCGTGGCGCAGAGTGCGCACGCTTCAGTTTCTCCTCAAAACTTTCGCCACGGGTACGTCCCGGACAACTACTTACGAGAGTGCCGATAGTGGAAACGTGAGAGGGCTAGCATTCACCGTGCCGATGGTGCCGCCTGGGCACGAAAACAGGCCGAGTGGCGACAGCAGCTGCCCGGCATACCGGTGATCCGGCAGTCTTCTAACGCATGCTAAATGGCGAACGGACATGCAAGCGCGGCTGGTGGGCGGATCCTATTAACCAGGCCGCTGAATTACCTCGCGATATCAAACGCTTGCCACAACGTGGCGTTGCGGCGTCAATGTGATGATTGCGGAAGCATGTTGATTGATTGATTGATTGATTGATTGATTGATTTGTGGGGTTTAACGTCCCAAAACCACCATATGATTATGAGAGACGCCGTAGTGGAGAGCTCCGGAAATTTCGACCACCTGGGGTTTTTTAACGTGCACCCAAATCTGAGCACACGCACCTACATTTCCGCCTCCATCGGAAATGCAGCTGTCGCAGCCGGGATTCGAACCCGCGACCTGCGGGTCAGCAGCCGAGTACCGTAGCCACTAGACCACCGCGGCGGGGCGCGGAAGCGTGTTCGCCTGGGCGAACGCCCGTTCTCGACGGGAGTTTCTCCAGCGGCACATTGGCTTCAGCTTCAACGTCTCTAGCCGCCCGTGGTTCGAGAACAGCCGCTGTGATCAACGCATTGCGAATTTGCATTTAACCGCTCATTTCACTCCTCCATGACGGGGACCATGCGAGGCACAATGTGTGGTTTGTGAAGGAAACACTGTGGTAATCCCAAGGCAAAACGAGTGTCTAACCTAATTGAGAAGCACGAACATGTAGCCAAAAGTTGTGGAAGGCTTCAGTGTCCCGTTCGTTTTAAACCACTGCTAAACACAGGAGCCGCACGTTTCACCTCTCGCTGATTAAATCATTCGTACAGACTGCTCGAGTGTCGATTTTCTTTTTTTAGATTTGTATTGCTATTACATAGGGCAGTGTGAGGATCGCTTGCCTTCTAAGAAGAACGACTACAGTTCGACGACATGCACAATACATGTGCGTGTGTATGTGTACGTTAAAGCCATCCTTTGAATGCAACAGTTGAGGGCACCTAACGCCTCGAGTGAATGGTCAGAGAGACGAAAAAAAAATCCTGGAGTAGCCAGGAAGGAGCCGCGTAAGGCCTTGGCTTACCGCTAGCTGCTAGATATTTTCGAAATTGGAAGGACGTGCCTCTCTGCTTTTTCACGGGCCCACCGGACGACCGCTTATTGGATCTCGAGTGTGGTGTTTGCGATGGCCTCGTCCAAGTCCTGTTCGCTGACGTGCTGCGTTTCCGATAACGCACGACATGGCCAGAGCATGTGTTCTAAAAGGCTAAACATCTACCTGCAGTCTTTTTACTGGAACGGTATAAAAAGAGTTGCAGTGAACGCCTTCAACGTGCTCATGTTGGGCGCTACTTTATCACTCCTTGTCATGGTTTTTTTCTAACTGAACTTAGACGTGACCATTGCCTTATACGTTGAAAGCGCTCTACGTATCACTTACTCAGCACTTCAAGCTAGATTCACACGTGAGGGTGCCCCGCCGCGGTGGTCTAGTGGCTGAGGTACTCGGCTGCTGACCCGCAGGTCGCGGGATCGAATCCCGGAGGGGGCGGCTGCATTTCCGATGGAGGCGGAAATGTTGTAGGCCCGTGTGCTCAGATCTGAGTGCACGTTAAAGAACCCCAGGTGGTCGGAATTTTCGGAGCCCTCCACTACGGCGTCTCTCACAACCACGTGGTGGTTTTGCGACGTTAAACCCCACATATCTATCTATCACACGCGAGGGCAAAATCCCCGTGCTCCGCGGATTGATTAGCCACGTGATTAGTTTAATCCGGCGCAGTAGCGGAGACGTCACATGCGCACAGCTGGAACAATCCACTCACGGAATCCTCGTGCATACTCTCGACTCCTATGCTTACGCCGCGCGCTTATGAGACCAAAAACCACTCTCCTTTTCTACTGTCCCGCAACGCACATTCTGTCGTTGCCGCGAAACTAAACCAAGTGGCTTTTAAGCCGGCATCCTGCTTCCTAGCCACGCCAATCTGACGTATGTTGACAGATTTGACGCTGAATCCCCTCGATTGAGGGCAGACGACTGTCAAACGGACAGATCGAAATAGCGGCGACACATTTCCGTCCGTGCCGCGAGCGGAGGAGAGCGGATGAAGCGGTGCCGGCAAGTTTTGGTGACGCGCACGTCACGTGATGCGCCGTCCGCTGCAAAAATTTCTGCTCCGTTTCCTCGCGTGAATTCACCTTCGCGGGATCTTGCGTGAAAAAAAGAGGGCGCGTGTTTATTACCTTTGTTCTTTGGAGGGGCGTCAACAGTTACCTGTCTGCAAGGGGCGTGGCATTTGCCCTCGGCTCCGCATCTGATTACGCTATAGTTGATCAGACGCCGGGGGCGACACAGCTTTACTTCAGGCGCCGTACGTTTCTTTTTTGCTGTGGAATAAATGGGCAAGCGCAAATGGAACGTCTTACATTCAAGGCTGAAAGTGTTGACAAAGCTCGAAATCAAGGCTCTGAAGAAGGAGAACCAGTCATGGCTTTCTTCACTGAAGACCATACCACTGGACGACCCCAGCGCCATTGCCGACGCCATCATGAAAGCCGTGGCAGATAAGCGCGGAACAGAGTGTCGCCGCCGCGCCGCGTGGCTCTACTGCTGGCTACTTACAGAGCGGCTTCCGGACGTTCTTTGGACCCTTTTAGCAAACGAAGATGAAAACGAAAATGACAACAAGGATGGCAACAAGGACGGCAATGTCGACAAGGTCAACTACAAGAACGGTGGCGTTCGCGACGAACAAGCTGCTTTCGAAGCTTGCGCTGAGAAAATGACCACTTCTAAACAAGCCGTGAACGTACAGTGGGTCATAAATAATGGTGCGATTTACGCGTGTATGCTGGCCAAGGGTGGAACGTCCGGCCCTAACGGAATAAAAAAAATCTACCTGGTGATGTCACGAAACAGGAAGCTACTGGCCGCCAAAAGGGTTGGAGGTCCATTGCAGAACAATCTGAACCACGCCTTGACGGAAGCGTTCCCGAAATTTCGGATAAAGACTGGTTTCTTGGAAAGCGAGGACATCGACAGGGTGCTACTGGAAGGCGTCCACTTGAAGAGTGAGTGACCGGCGTGAGCCGGAGTAGGTGTGAAGCACGTGCAACGTGAGCGGTTTCGGGAAGTGCATGATCCCGCGAATCTGACAAATGCATGTATTGGGAGAGATGAAAAATTGGTTTTTGCATGTTATCCGCAATCACGTCTTAATCGACGGAGCGCAATGTATGTAACCGTGGCGGCTACTTACAGCCCACATGAGTGTGTTGCGCGAAGTTTCACTCGTCATCCCTGCTTTAAAAGACAGCACTTTATCACGACGCAACGATTCGGGCACCAGAGGCACGTTCATTGCAGAGTCAACGGCTGTCCATGCATTTCGATGAACTTAGTGCGCAACAATGGGGCGAAATGTTAAGGCTGGTCTTTCTTTTTCACGAACACCCTAATAATAAACGCAATCTGTTGTGCAACAGCGACACTTTCAGGCAGATAGCAACACTAAATGCCTACTCGACAGGGCACAATTGGTGAAGAGGCTGATTCACAGGCAGCGCTTTGCCTTGCGCGGGTCGCACATACTTTGCGTGCCCTACGGTAGCATTCCGCTTACCAACTGTGGGTGTATATTGAGCAGATGTTACAAGCGTACACGCGAGGAATCGCGTCAGATGTTTCTTTAGACTGATTTACACAGCTTTTCTTGCCAAAATCACGATACTATTAGTCTACCTGGCATTCTCTAACGGGGGTAGTCGAGAATAATTCCGACCAGCAGCTGTCTCCAGATGCACTGAGCTCTAAGTACGTTGGTAGGTACAAAAAGCTAAACTGTGCCCCACATGATATTTCAAAGCAATGTAAATAATTGTGGCGGTGATGTGTTGTAGTAGTTGATACACTCCTATGTCGTTTTAAGCCAGAGTGGTCCCTTTCTGGTGACAGCCGCCGCTTATGTTGTAATATTCTCCTCCTGTGTCTGCGCTCCAAGACCTTACAATTTTTCACCAAGAATCTTTTTAAATTAGCTCAATGATACGTTGAAATATGCTGAAACGTGAAGCTTTAATATTCACTGTGTGCTGTGGTACTTCGTGTGTGTAACATCGCTTAATTACTCGTTACCCGCTATGCCATGTTGTTGCTGCCCACCAGCAAAACCTACACTGTCGTCCTTTATGAAAGGGAACACGCGAACGCATGGCCTGTGCTCTGCGGCGACTGCCTACTGCACCATCAACCGACAGCAAAAGGAAACACGTTCACATTCAGCGTCATCTGTTGCCGAAAAAAATTGGTTAAGGCGGGTAGACAAGCGCTGCTAGATTGCACTCTCTCTGCTCACGCCTACAGTGCGTAGTCCACGGCCAACATATCAAACGTTGTTCGCGACCACGGCGCAAGCTGCAGTAATCGCCCGATATTTCTCGCAGCGCGAGCGATCAGGGGACGTAATCTAGCAGGGCTTGTCTACCAGCCGTAACTCATTATCTTGCTTAGCCATAGATGACTCCAAAAGCAAACGTGCTTTGGTCACTGGTCGGTTGGTGGTGCTGTAGGCAGCCGCCGCAGAGCGCAGGTCACATGTTCGCGCCTTCTCTTTCATAAAGAACGACAGTGTACACATGTGAATAATAAACTATATTGAGCAGTGAATTTCACTCTGTCACAACATACATTAAACAAAATTCTGTAAACCAGGCTGCCGACGGGAGTTTAGCATCGGCTTCGATTCAGTTATGTGCTGCGTGGTGATAGCGGTTACGGCACGAGGCTGTTTATAATTATCATGCAAACAATATTCTTTTCGTAACGTCCTTTCGTCATGCCAGCAGAGATTCCACCCGACCGAGAACTGTGTACGCCTTGGCTTACTTTTTTTTTCTACGAAACAGCTCTTCTCCAACGAAAGTCCGTAAACTGAAAGAACGGAATTGTTCCCACAGAAATGGTGTTAATCCAAATTCGACCGAAGCGCAAACTGCAGGCCCACTTATGCAAAGGAGTGTTCTTGTTGACGCATGCATGCTTCGTGATCAAGCGCCTTACCCCCGTATTCAAGAACGTCCCTCTACTCAACGCTTCACCTTCACTTGAGAAGGCCGATGGGAGCGCCGTCTCTAGGCAGGGGAAGTCACTGCATATCAGTGATAATCTGCCGCGATTCTTGAGTAGCGCAGCGTCACTTTCAACCGAGCAGCGGCGCAGTGCTCAACTCTGTCAAGTGAAGGGTGAAAGTCGAATCGAGGAGCGATTGTGAATACGGGGGTTAGTGTTAGCGCGTTTCTTCACTTGAAACGTGTCAGCCACGGTGAAACAGTAGCTATTTATTTATTTATTTATTTATTTATTTATTTATTTATTTATTTATTTATTTATTAGAATACCCTCAGGGCCCGTAGGGCATTACAGAGGGGGTGGGTACAACATATAACACACAAGAAAAAAAGACAAAATAAAGAAACAAGTATCAGATGCGCAAATCAGGAAGGCAACATAAGTCAACTAAAAATGTATAAGAATTCAAGCACATACAAGACAGAGATAGATAGTGGAAACTGCGTATAGTTACAAGCATTGCTGAGAAATTGCAGTCTTGAATAACAAAGGGTCTGTTATTGATACAGCTATATGGTGCTCGGCTGCTTATCCAAAGGTCGCGAGTTCGATTCCGGACGTGGTGGTAGCATATCAGTGGAAACGAAATGGTAGAGGCCTGGGTTCTGTGCGATAGTAGTGCACGTTGAAGAACGCCGGATGGTAGCGATTTCCGGAGCCCTCCAATATGGCATCTCTAGCATATCGTGCTTTTGGCACGTAATACCTCCGATATTATTACTCGCTTAACGTCTACCAACAGGCAGACGTTATTTGTTGAGAGCTTGGATTTCGAAACTGCTGCCCCGTACGTGGGCATTCAAGTATTTATTTTCGAACAAGGAGGAGGAAAGAAATAAGCGGAAGGACAGGGAGGTTAGCCAGTCAATAAGCCGACTGGCTATCCTGTGCTTCCCAGCAGGCACATGGCTTGTGTGCCTCGCCGCGGTGTTCTACTGGCTAAGGTATTCGGCTGTCGCCCCGCAGGTCGCGGGATCGAATCCCGTTCGCGGCGGCTGCATTTTCGATAGAGGCGAAAATGCAGTAGGCCCGTGTGCTCAGATTTGGGTGCAAGTTAAAGAACCCCAGGTGGGCGAAATTTCAAGAGTTTTCCCCTACGGCGTCTCTCATAATCATGTGGTGGTTTTGGAACGTTAAACCCCAGTTATCAACCAAATCAATTACATGGCTTCTGTGCGTTGAGTACACATTGAGACTACGAACTGTCTAGCAAGGCAAATATTATCACGTGCAATGAATCTCTTTTTATGGAGAGGATTTCCTCCTTTCTGGGCTGTTGAATGCGAGTACTAAAGCTGACGTCACAGCTTCGGCAGTGCATTCTTCGGGGGTCACGCGTACTACCAACAGCCCAGACAGGACTGTGGTGGCACCCAGGCAACCTTAAGTAAAAAGTGACTAGCACCAGACTGTTTAATCAGCGCATGTGTGAAATTGGGTGAATATTTTTCTTTCTGCCAAAGATTGGGGTGCATATTACAACCCAATTACAGCCAAGAAGCCATGATATCCGCCCACTTGAACTACTTTTGTGTGCGTACCATAACAGCCCCAGCTCTCGCTCCATTCTCACTCTGCTAACTGTGATTCTCCCCTCGAAATTTGGTAGACCATGACTAGGGGACCCCATTACCAATCATAAATGCTAAAGGAAGCTAGAAAGATAAGATTGTCATTTGTATTTCACATGGGTTGACAAGAAGTACTTTATATATTTTTGTTGCGGGTGCCACTTTGTTCGTAAGACTCGCAAAACAGTGGTTCACTCTCTGTGAATACAAACAATTGTTTCGCGCCAGGACCCTCAGAAGAGCACTGTTCAAAGCCGCGACAGGTATATACATGCACTACCTTGTTAAGTGCTATGTATGAGCACATGTCTTGTAGCTCAGCCGGTAAGCGGCCTGCATGACCCCTCCCCCCGAAATCATGCCCTTCCCCATAGCTACAAGCCTTACTCTTCACTGATGTTTTTATTTCTTTTTCCTGAACTGCTCATTACAAAACACTGTGGGCTTTTTTAACCAGACACTTTACAGGGTGCCTCAGCTACGCTTAGCCAGAGCTTTAATATATACCGACACGCTCAATGACGACACGATCAAATGCATGTTGCTGACTGTTGCCTGAAGAGAGTCAGACTATTCCTTGTGTTTTGTATAATTGCCTAGTAAGGTAACCTTTATTAACCAACTTTTTAAGCAACTAAAATGGGCCGGATATTCCGGTGAGAAAGTTCTTCATGGGTTTGTAAAGCGTCCAATTAGACAGTTTCGAGCTTTATATTACTTTTTAGTGTTTTCCTACTAAAGGTGCTAATGCCCGCGAAATGCGACAAATACACGTGACAAGCCCACTCACGTAGCCGTGACAAATACACGTGACAAGCCCACTCACACGATGATTCTAGTGCTCCCTAACGTTCCACGTATGAGCGACCATAGCATTTGCCCGATAGTGCTGTCTCGACTGGGCCACAGCGATAGTGGTGGTTTTGCGATTAACACGTTTCGCTATCGACCACAAAAGCGATAACTGCTGTGACTGCTTAGCGCATTCATGATCCGGTGCGAAGGAAGCGTACGTTTCGTACGCGGAACGTTACAGAGCACCAGAGCCATAGCATGCGTAAGCGTGCCAGTGGGTTTGTCACGTGGTATTTTTAAAGACGTTAGTCTTTATTGGGGACCTTCGACGGAAAAATTTTGGTCTCTCTCTCTGTCTGTCTGTCTGTCTGTCTGTCTGTCTGTCTGTCTGTCTGTCTGTCCGCCCTAACCATACCTCAAACGGCACCAAACGGCCAACCCCCTTAGCAGCGTCCATCAATATTGCTCAAGGTTTAGCGTTCGTAGTTGTGCGATTGTCAATACAAAAGCAATTATTGCGCATATCTGAGGCGCTATATCAACACTTCGATGTTTTGTATGTCTCCCTTTATACATGAAGAGGCACACACGAGTAACTCTAAGGAATGTAGCGTTTATCGCGCTGCGCTTATCATGCTACGCGATGCTCAAAAAAATTGCCCGCAGATTCCCTCGGGGGAACACTGAGGAGGATGCGGAGCATATAATTGGTTAACGGGGTGTTAAAGTGCGACTTACTTGGGTCGATGGCTAAATTGGTTAACGTGGTTGTGAAATGGGGTGTTAAATTGTGACTTACTTGGGTCGCTGGCTAAATTGGTTAACGTGGTTGTAGGAGGGGTGTTAAATGAGTGAACACGTACGACACGTATCCCGTTTTCGAAAGTCCGGGTCCTCTTGTCGACGCTTACGTTTCAAAGCGGCCGAATCCGGTGCTGCTGCTCGACGCTGACGTCTCTCAGCGGCTTCACGTTCTCTAAGTTGAGCATCTTCCGCTCGACGCCGACGTTTACGTTCGGCGTCGCGAGCTCTTCTCCGCGCTGCCTTGTCTTCGGACGACGACTTGGTTGCGGTTCCGCCAACACTTTGGCCGGCGCTGGTCGAAGGGTCGTCGATCATTGCGAACTCGGACGTCGACGCGCCGTACAAACCAGCCGACGAGCGGCAACTGAGCGAGCGAGCACCGACCTTGAGTATATATACAGCGCGACGGCGCATGCACTGTCAGCTGTCGAATGTTCGAGAAGGGGGAGAAGCGCAACGGCGCATGCGCGCGCGTCAGCTGCCGATGTTCTCGAAGCGTGACGGCGCATGCGCGCTACATTATACAGTTAGCGAATGTTCGTGAAGAGGAGAAGCGCACGCGGTGTGTAGAGGAGGAAGGGTGCACAGATGGTGGAGGAGTGAAGCGCGCGCGGTGTGTAGAGGGGGAAGGGATGCACAGATGGTGGAAGAAGGAGGAGAAAGCTTGCGGACGGCACCGCACTACAAGCCTCGAGTATTAGATGCTCCGCATATAAAAAGTGTTTCCAACGCTTTGCTACGACGTCACGGAGGTGGCACCTGCCTGTCGCTTTCAGTTCTACACTTAATCACCTCCGAGACTGGCGCGCATCTTTCTCCGCGGGGTGCATGCCTTCGTTTTTGAAGATAACTTCCTGATGGTGCTTGTGTCTAACGTGCCTCGATGCGCTCGTTCACCTCCGCTACACGCTCGAAGCACTCTAACGCAGCGCCTCCAGAATACCATTCACCGATTTTCTTGCGCAGAACTTCAAATCAACATTTTGTTCACTCTCTCCAGACGCAAGACTATTGTCTTTCGACAAGATTTGTGATGTAACATGCCAATTTGGAACAAATTTTTTTTCATGCGAAGCATTTCTTAGTGAACTTCAGCGACTTTGAGCGTATCTATCTATCTATCTATCTATCTATCTATCTATCTATCTATCTATCTATCTATCTATCTATCTAGCTGCCTACGACTTTTAGCCCTCCTTGCCGTTATGATAATGATATAGATACCAAACTTGGTATGGCATAACATGGCTGTATGAAGAACATATTTCACTAGTCATAACATGAAAGTTATGAAACATATATCATGAATGTCATGATTTACATTACATGGTCCTGCAGCTTTTTCGGTGGTTCCGTTCACATGGCATGTTGCAAAACTGGTATGGGATGACATGATTTTATGGCGAACACAAGCGACAGATCCTAACATAAAAATCATGATATGCGGGTCATGTAACAACATGATTACATGCAACGCTCATGGTGCGCTGGGGGCCGTTTCGCTAGCTTCACTTATACCGAATTCGGTATTACGGGACGTGAATGGATGACGAAGGTATGATACCGGTGCAAGCATGATAAACATGAGATGCGTGTCATGTAACATGACTACATGCTACGCTCATGATGCACTCGCGGCCATTTCGCTAACTTCACATGTACCGAACTCGGTATTACGTCACGCAAACTGACGACATAGGTAAATGACACATCCAAACATGATATTCACGACATGCGTGTCATGTAACATGACAACATGCCACACTGATGATGTGCTCGCAGCCGTTTCGCCAACTTCACATATGCCAAATTTGGTATTACGTGACGCTAATGGATGACGAAGGTATATGACTGGTGCAAACATGATAATCATGAGATGCGTGTCATGTGAGAACATGACTACATGCCACAGTCAAGGCGCCAATACATTTCGACGTGATGCGGTGCGCCTGCGCGCCGGCGTTTACTTCGTCGTGTCGCGCCAGCGTTGCCACGCCACGTGCCGGTCCTGCCATATACTCGCAGGCGCGTGCCACACTGCGTTGCTTTGACGCATGCGCGTATCAGCGCGTCCGGCGTCCCTACGTCACGAAAAGAGGGAGACGCAGCGTTGTCTGGGTGACGCATCGGCGCGAAATGCAGCACGTTGCATTTCGCGCAGGTTGCCGACGGGCTGCGCCGACGGACGCTGGTCGCGCCTGGCGTGAGACTATAGAGTGCTCGCGTTTCGCTAACGTAGCGTCGCTGTGCCCAGCGTGCGCGCGCGTCAACGCTACATTGGAGTATATTGGGGCTTTCATGATGCGCTCGTGGCCATTTCGCTAGCTCCACATATACCAAATCAGGTGTTACGTGACGTCAATGGATGATAAAATATATGACTGGTGCAAACATGATAATCCTGACACGCGTTTCATGTAAGAACATGACAACATACCACGCTCTTAGCGTGCTCGCGCCATTTCGCTGGCTCCACATATACTAAATTTGGTATCACGTGGCGTGGATAAATGACGAAGCTAAACGACACATCCAAACATGATAATTATGACACAGAAGTCACGTACGGCATCATTTCCCTTCACGTCGTAACGTTGTGCTGATTTTAAAGTGTCATTTCAACATTTCTCATTCGTGTTTCGCATGTCGATTCCCACTGCACGTGGGATCTGCCAATATTGTCCTTTGTATTTCGCGAGCATTCGTAGTTAGCAGAAAAACACGAATAACTAAGTTCAAAACTCTCTAATCAAATGTTTTTCAAACTGATCTACAGCTTTCTGACTGAAAACTTTGACCCATCTTCATTCCTTCAGAAGTTAGTTAAAAGGGTCTACTTAAACAATTGATCAGAATTCAAAAAATAGTCTGATTCACTCCAGGCAACGGTCTGCAACATGCATTTGGTCGCATCGTAATTGCGCTTGTTGGCATATTTTTAGTATCGGGTTACATATAGCTGGGGCACTCTGTATACCAGCGTCAATTGTGTAAAGCAATGTATACCTCGCATATTACGAGGCGCGAACAATTACGAAATGCACGCTTTCTTTTGGCGTGAGAACTGTCTGTCTTTGGTCCGGTTTTAACGCTCCGATGATCATTGTCAAAGCGAATTTTCACCTATGCCTTACCTCGTTTTATGTACAAGACAGTATGTTTTACCACAACCCAAGAACACACAAAAAAAGGTAAGCGTTAACCATCTCTATGTTTCTTGTTACAATGCGTGCGAATACGAAGTGGTGTTGTTGGAGGGCCTGTAAACTAAAGATTAAGGCAAGAAAGCGTAATGCTTTCATAGTGGTTTCTTTCTTTCCTTCTTTTATTATTTTCAGAACGAATTGCCCGCGAGCTCAAGGATTCAAGGGCTAAGGGCTCTGCGACGGAGCAATCTGCGGATAACTCTGCAGATGAGGACTCTGCAGATGAGGACTCTGCAGATGAGGACGGTACACGTAAGGGCGGTGCACATGAGGACGGTACAGATGAGGAGCCTGCTGATGAAGACTATACTTCGAAAGAAGACGGCTCAGATTCCTCGCTTCAATATTCCTCGCTGGAGGATTCTCTACGCGTGGAACCTGTGCGTAAGGAGTCTTCGCCCGACACTATGCAAGAAGTGGTGAAACCTGGCTCCTCAAACAGTACGTTCAGCTACAGTAAAAAAAATAATATAAAAGTTCCTATATGTCAAAACCAGCGCAATTTTTTTTTGCAGGTAGCTTGCCTTTCATTTATGGTGAGGCCTCGAAAGGAACCTTGCGAATTTATTTGCACGAGATGCAACCCCATCTTGGCTCTTCTTTTGTGCAATTTATTATTTGTATCATGCTGTGCTAAGAATGCGGAAGCTCTGTTTACAGATAAGATCTTTCTCACGTGGGGATAGGTTTTAATGCATGAACACTGCCTCTTTTTTTTAACAAGGAGCTTCACTAGCCCTCGCTCTCTGGAAATTATGTTGAACCACAAGGTCGAATACGGGCATTCGTGTCAAAAGGCATGTTGTAGAAAGTGTGGTCCTGTTTTAAATGTGAGGAACTGTTTTTGTTGATTTTTGTTTATGTGCAAGAGAGTTTGATGTCTGTCGCTCAAGAAGAAGATGTCGGGGCGATCGAGGTAATTTTTTATATGATACGTTCATGCCAAAAATGAAAGGCCATGAGTTTACCTATATTTCCCAAAAGAAGTGACATTTCGATATGTACATTGGGTGCGAACTCTAGAAATTTGCATATTCAGGCATCATTCTTGTTGCAGGCCGTGCCATAAGTATCGCAGATTGTGCCACGGAAAGAATTAGGAGCACTTCATCCTTGCAGAAATGTCACAGCCCAGTTTTATAAGCAGAAAGAGTGCAGCCGCTTCTATACAATTCAGACATTTCCATAGATTGCAATTCGTTGTTACCTCTCGTTGGAGTAATATTTTGTAGCATGAAGTGACAGAAAATTGCTGTTGATTGGAGGCCACCTATAACCCCTATAATTGGTTCTCCAAAACTTGTGATTGTTGATTTCCTGCGACTAGTTGTATGTCTCGATATTCACATTAACATGCGTACTGTACAGAACCTACCACAAATGTGCGATACTCTTTTGAAATGCCCGCCCGTGTACTTCGCTACTCAGGAAACTTCAGCCACTTTTTCGATGGTGGCTAAAATGCTTGGTGCCAGAGTTCATCGATATCGGTGCCCGTTTAAGATCCCCAAGTGGTCCAGATTTTAAATCTTACAACTCCCCCCAAAGCTTTACTCTGTCATTTCCCCCTTATACCCTCTCCCCCGAAAGTTAAGATAGTGTTGAGGAAATGACGAGCCCCCCGAGCCCACAGCGAACCTTTCCACTGACCTTTTTTTATTGAATGACAAAGAGCTTAAGTTCGTGAAACTTTGCTTAAAATCCCCTACTATGACGCGCCTTGTAATCACTGAGGCCAAATAACACGTAAAGTTATATATTTAAATTTAATCTTTCTTGTATCTGCCCCCCCCCCCCCAGATTGTCGGTAAAGAAATTACTGCCCATTGGGCGAGGATGACTGCTGTTGATTCCTACACTGCGACGACATCACGGGAACATAGTTCAGGAAGTGGTTATGCGGTGGAGTCGTCGAACGCATTGTTTTAAAGTTTTCTGTACAGTGTGGCACGCTGTAAAACATCCATGGTGTTCGTTTATACTTTCAATGCATCTTTAGTGCTTCTGTCGCTCTGTTACCTTTAATGCCCTTTTCCAGTTTTCTCGTAGAATCGCTGCAGGGTGATGATTACATTAGAAACACCCCACTACTTTTTTTCTTTCTGTGTTGCGCTTCTGGTATAGCTTATTTTATACCCGAAGTCATGCTACAGGCAGCAAGCCATTGCCGTATGTCCGTGCACAAGGAGAACTCAGACGCGCCCATGTTACCCCATACGCTTCCGAGCTGGGCACGAACAAATAAAAAAACATGAACGAGCAGTGTTGTTTCTGTAGTGTTATAGATTCTTCTGCCTTAATACTCACGTTCTGGAATGATTTATGCAGACCGCAAGCAGTCGAGAAGGGCACGTGCCACGAAAAAACCTGGACCGACTCCAGTCGCCAACAAAGATTCGCAGCCTGGTTCTTCGAGAGGTATGGTGGAACATACATGCGTTTAAAACTCGCCACGTGCTTATCGGACCTTTCATTAGCAAAGCGCCTAGCACACTATCGTCGTAGCACCATTTCTTGTCCGTCCTGTTGTAGAGGAACACAGATATTACGGGTGTCACGCAATTCTCGCGTGTGGTCACCACGTGTTGAAATATAATCACGAAAGAAAAACTCTGAATTTCAGAATCCCACACATTCATCATTCCGGAGATGGGTACCGATGTGTTGTTCGTAGTCTTAAGGCCCAAAACTACCTTTCAAGAGAAAACTTTTGCTGACATGTCATTCAAGCAGCACACTCCCCCTCCCTCTTCCCCCACTTTCCTACATTTATGTACATGCTGGCAAGAATAAGTGAGAGAGGGCTGTTTGTTAAGAAGTTAAACTAACAGCGTCATTTGAAAGGCGGTCATTTCTATATTTTTTGATGTACCACACGAAACCACAGGCGTACAACACAGCCACACATCACAGGTGGGATGACAGGAGAACCCAGGTATATAGTGGTCTGATAGCTCGATGGTAATTTCAAGAAAAGAACTCATGTATTCGGAATGCCCTAATAGGATATAATTAGTACATTTTCTTAGAGTTGATGATGGCCTGCTAGCGCACTTCTCCATGCATTGAAAACAAAAAAAAGCTTCGATGATATCACGATGAACTTTATCGTTCCATTTACTGAAAAACTGCTTTCGCTGAAAACTATTTGACCAAGAACCAGCTCAACCAAACAAAATATCTGCTAGATGACCTTCCGTATCAACGAAAAGAAAAAGAACAGCCCTATGTGGGCAGTATCAATACTTACGGTTGGCCAAAGACATTATCATCCCTACTCCCCCCCCCCCCCCCCCCCCCCTGTTTCTCCTCTTTTGAATGTATTCATGTTCAAGAAAAAGTTTGGGATTCCGTGGCACTCTGGAAAAGTGACTTAGGGTCACCGAGGCCACAACATTTGAGAATCACTGATCTAAGAAGTGACCAAGATTTGGCGTCATTTGTACGCAGCAACACCATTTCGCGAAAAAAAAAACAAATTTTATATGAAACAAAAATCTCTTTAAAGTTCACTCCCGGTACCATACAGTAGATTAAACACAAATTCGATGTTTTCTCTAATCTTTCTCACAATCTTACCGGATATTTTCATCGTGCCCACTGCAAATAAGTTGTTTAATAAATTTACGATGACAGCCCCATCATAACGCAAAAGCAGAGCTAAAGCTTAATGTGGGGTAAGATTTCGTTTGACCAAAAAATTCTATTTTGAAGCGTTTCAATCATCTTTTACTGCAACTATCTTTCAAAAAAAAATTTATCACACTAGGGTGCTCACGGTTTCAAAGCTAATTTTAGGTCTATTTTTTTTTTCGACTCATTGGCAGGAAATGGTGTGCACGTTAAAGTGACCTGGGCGGTTTTTTTTTTTCTAAGCATAAAAACATAAATTTAGTTTTTTTTCTTTATGCGCTCTTAATTTCACTTACTCTTCTGTACAAAATTAATACGCCTCGCCACGGTGGTCTATGATTCATATGTGGGGTTTAACCCACATATGAATCACCTTTCTTTTTTTTTTGCTTTTGCCTGAAATAAACTTCAACTTCAACGTCCCCAAACCACCATATGATCATGAGAGACGCCGTAGTGGAGGGCTCCGGAAATTTCGACCACCTGGGGTTCTTTAACGTGCACTCAGATCTGAGCACACGGGCCTACAACATTTCCGCCTCCATCGGAAATGCAGCCGCCACAGCCGGGATTCGATCCCGCGACCTGCGGGTCATCAGCCGAGTACCTTAGCCACTAAACCACCGCGGCGGGGCAATTTTTGCCTCGAAGATCCCTAAGAAAGACTATCGTCTTTAATACATGCAGCGGGTCCCGCCACGGTGGTCTAGTGGCTAAGGTACTCGGCTGCTGACCCGCAGGTCACGGGATCAAGTCCCAGCGTCAGCGGCTGCATTTTCGATGGAGGCGAAATTGCTGCAAGCCCGTGTTCTCAGATTTGGGTGCACTGTAAAGAGCCCCAGCTGGAAGTCGAAATTTTCGGAGCTTTTCACTACGGAGTCTCTCATAATCATATTCTGGTTTTGGGACGTTGAACCCCGTATATCAATCAATCAATCAATGTACAATTTTACCTCTCATTTTTGTGCAAAACTTACTCGCAAGATGGGTATTTCTTGAGATTGACTCTGCGAATTCAATTAGGAAAATTCTGGCTTAGGTATATTGTAAATATGGACTCCCGAAATTCATGTGGCCGCACTGTGTGGAAAAAGCCGCAAAAGAATTTGACACCCATTGTAAGAGGATATTTATTTCGCTTTCATTCTGCCGAAAAATGAGCACTTTAACGTACAGGTCACATTAACGTGGGCTATGAACCATACATTCGATATTCTGATTCAAGGCCACAGTCGAGTGTGCGTATTCCACACACATTCGCGGAACCATGCAGATGGTTCACGAGGTGTGTAGCCTCTACGTAAAATACAGTCATTAGCTCATTTGGTTTGCTGTGCTTGCTGCAGACAGTAAACCCTGGACTGGGCATGATGACCAGCCTGCTGGGAGTGCGGAAAACAAGGTTGACGCGACAGCGGCGCGGCGGAAGAGAGTCTCCACCAGGTCGCCAATTCTCAAACTGGAGCACAGGCCAAAAAAAGGTACCAAAGTAACGGCACGGTGCTAGATGGTCGTAAAGAGAAACGCTGCCTAAAGGGTCGCGTTCTGGTACCTTCATAAGCATGTGGAATAGCTGATTGCTCAGTGGTTTACCGCAAGGCCCTTAAAGTTGAGCTTTTCATGTGAACTTTTACAGGTTATGCTTAACAGGGGCCCTGCAAAACTTTTTTACCATGGTCGACAAACGCTCCTGAGTGGTAGTCAAGACTCTCAAGAAATGCGAGCCACATTGTCGCAGCACGCGGCCAGTAATTCACAGTTCTAAAAGAGGGCTAGACACTGTATGCTCTTCTCTTTACAAGTGATACACCAGCCGTGGGAGGTGACCACGGGCCAACTTGTGCTCTTGCAGTCTTTCTGAAGGTTAGCCACGTGTTCCAAAAAGATTGCTCATGATTGAGAATCACATGTGACAAAGCTTCTTCCCCGTGTGCAATTCGTCCCTGCTTAGCTTTTAACGCGTTCGGCGGGATGATCGAGAGAACACAGAAAGCTTTTACAGCATGCCAAAAATCTGACTCTGCTTTTATTTGATTGATTCAAAAATTATTGTGGTGGTCCGCTCGGAAAGAAATGAAGTCCTTTAGCGAAGCTATTCGATGGTGACATGGGAAAGTGGGCAGGTCTTCTTTAGGGTGAGACTTGGGAAGACACTTTGAAACGTCCTCCTCTGAGTTTTGAGTGAATGATGAAGTTGCGAAATATAGCTGTTCTAGAAAAGTACGTGGGTTCAAACCACATGCATTGGAACTTCGCTATACCTTTTTTTTTTTTCGGTGGCAGAGGAGCATATCGTACTATAGCGTATACATGCAGCGTCAGACTGTTGTTGCCTTAGGTATGTCTACTCACACATTAAAAAAGTAGAGCAAAAACAAATTGTGCATGTTGCTTAGAATTCCATTTTCTTCAACTACAGGTGTGCCAAGTGAAAAGCCTGAAGACGGAGACATCAAGGAGCCTGACGAAGTTGATCCCAAGGTAAAGAGTGCATATACAGCAACCGCATTAGGGAACGTAGTATGCATACTATAGTTGGTTATAAAAAAAGAAAAAAATCTTGTCACTAACGTCTTGTTTAATGCCCACTAATGATTCGAAGCACTTTGCTAGCAGTGTGGCAGCTTGGGCTAGTTGGTATGGCATGACGATAGTTATAGCGCGAGAACATAACGACGACACAGAGACAAGAGGGGCACGAAAGACACTGTCATTGTCGAGGCCGCGCAGATGGCACGCGAACAGGTGCCTTGTATTAGCAGGCCCTCCGTGGCTCTGTCCGAGAAGGAACTCAGGTTCCTCGAAGGTTTCGGTCCGCGCAAGTAGTTGTATTATCTTTACTTTTCTGTTTCGTTTACCTTTCTGTTTCGTTTTCTTATAAATTTTTCTTTGCCGTTTTTCTGTGCTTTTGTTTTTCGTCTGTTTTTTTCTCTTACTCATGTTCTGCTCTTTGTGTCAGTCAGTCAGTCAAGAACTTTAATATATGGTCCTGAGGAGTTTAAGCCACCAGGGTGCCCACGTGGGACATCCTAGCAGCCGCTACCGTAGGCGACGCCCGAGTCGGGGCGGGAACGTGGTGGCGTTCCGCCAGTTCTTGGGCCCTCTGGACTGCCTTAAGTTGGTTTCGGAGATTGGGGCTCCTGAGTGCCTCCTCCCAGTCGGACTCACTGGTGAGAGGTCCCTGAGGTAACGCGGGACATTGCCAGAGCATGTGCGCGAGTGAACAGTACACTTCTGTGCAATCTGGGCACTGTGAATTTATGTCTGAGTTATAATGGCTGAGTCGGCCCCGTGATGGGTACGATCTCGTTTGTAACATTCTAAAGGCTACTTCTTGCGCGCGTTCTAGTTTTGAATGGGGTAAAGGGTATCGGCTTCTGTTGTGTCGGTAGTGGGAGGTAATTTCATGGAAGGTGAGTAGTGGGTCATTAAACTGCACGTCTGGGCCCAGCTCTTCGGTGGCTGATTGATCGTCACGGCGGGTCAGTTCTCGTGCTCGATCATGAGCCATTTCGTTGAGGTTGGGTTGTTGTGGGTGAACGTCTTTGCCCATGTGGGCAGGGAACCAAGAGAGGTAGTGCGAGCTCTTTGTGCCATATGGTTTTTATCACATGGTTACTGTCTCCTCTATATATTTTCGCGCTGCGCAATAAACTCAGTTGGAAGTTAGCGCTCGTGTCTTTTGTGTCCCTCTTGTCTCTGAGTCGTCGTTTTGTTCTCGCGCTATAACAATCGTCATTCTGCTAGCGTCACACACTTGTATTATGGAGAGCTCATTTCCAGCGGCAAAAAAAAAATTGGAATTGTTGAGAGTATACTAACAAGTTAAGCTGTACTAAAGGATGTATGTTAGCTCAAAGAAACAAAGGTGCAACGCTTCAGAAAAATTGGCAGATCCCACGTACAGTGGGAATCGATGATATGCGAAGCACGAATGAGAAATGTTGATATGTCACTTTAAAATCAGCACAACGTTACGAGGTGGAGGTAAACGATGCCGTACATAAATTCTGTGTCATGATTATCATGTTTCGAAGCGTCGTTTGCCTTCATCTATTGACGTCACGTGATACCAAATTTATTATATGCGGAGCTAGCGAACCGGCTGTGAGCACGCTACCAGTGTGGTATGTTGTCATGGTCTTACATGACACGTGTGTCAGGACCATCATGCTTTCACCGATCGTATATTTCGTCATCCATGGACATCACGTAACACGAATTTTGGTATATGTCGAACTAGCAAAACGGCCGCGAGTGCATCATGAAGGGCCCAATACACTCCAATGTAGCGTTGACGCGCGCGCACGCTGGGCACAGCGACGCTACGTTAGCAAAACGCGAGCACTCTATATAGTCTGACCCCAGGCTCGACCAGCGTCCGTCGGCGTGGCTCTGCGGCAACCGGCACGAAATGCGACATGCTGCATTTCGCGCCGATGCTTTACCCAGACAACACTGCGTCTCTCTATTTTCGTGAAGGATGGACCCCGGACGCGCTGAAACGCGCGTGCGTCAAAGCAACGCATGCGCGGCACGCTCCTGCGAGTATATGGCAGGACCGGCGCCTGGCGAGGGCCGGTCCTGCCATCAGCGCCGGCGCTCATGAACGCCGGCGAGTACGCGCACCGCGTCACGTCGAAATGTATTGGCGCCTTGACTGTGGCACGTAGTCATGTTCTCACATGACACGCATCTTATGATTATCATGCTTGCACCAGGCACAGTCACATACCTTCGTCATTCATTGGAGTCCCGTAACACAAATTTGACATATGTAAAGCTAGTGAAACGGCCGTAGGCACATCATCAGTTTGGCATGTAGTCATGTTGTCACATGGCACGCATGTCGTGATTATCCTATTTGGATGTATTATTTGCCTATGTCGTCCGTTCGCATCGTGTATTATCAAGTTTGTCAAATGTGAAGCTAGAGAAACGGTCGCAAGCGCGTCATGAGCGTAGCGTCTAGTCACGTTCTTACATGACACGCATCTCATGTTTATCATGTTTGGACCATTATCATACCTTCGTCATTCATTCACGTCCTGTGATACCAAATTTGGTATTAGTGAATAGCGAAACGGCCGCCAGCGCATCATGAGTGTGGCATGTAGTCATGTTGTTACATGACAGGCATATCATGATTATCATGTTTGCACTAGTCACATGTCTTCGTCATCCATTCACGTACTGTAATACCAAACTTGGCATATGTGACGCTAGCGAAACGGCCGAGAGCACATCATGAACGTGGCTTGTACTCATGTTGTTACATGACTCGCATGTCATGATTTTCTTGTTACGGTCTGTCGCTTGTGTTTGCCATGCAATCATGCAATGCCATGCCACTTTTGAAACATGTCATTTGAACGAAACCACCGCAAGAGCTGCAGGTCCATGAAATGTAAATCATGACATTCATGACGTACATGTCATTATTTTCATGTTATGACTAGTCAGATATGTTCTTCACTGTCATGTTATGCCATATCATGTTTGGTATCATTACCATTATCAAAACGGCCAGGAGAGCTAAATGTCGTAGACGGCTAGATTGATTGATTTATTTATTTATTTATTTATTTTATTTATTTATTTATTTATTTATTTATTTATTTATTTATTTATTTATTTATTTATTTATTTATTTATTTATTTATTTATTTATTTATAGACGGACTGACGGATGGATGGATGGATACGCTCAAATTCACTGAAGTTCGCTAAGAAATGCGCATTTAATAATAAGTTGGGAGCTATACTGCTCACAGCTCCTCTGCCGGAGGCTTTGTTTCTTGTTCGCGCTTAACTGTATCCTTTAAAAGAGCACTGACGCAAACATTTTACGTCTTGTTCTCGAGGTTGTGGTGCGTAACTGTGACGATCAGTTTATCACGTCTGGAAACTTCGCACACTCGGGCACACAACAAATTTTGATTTGGAGGCGACCTTATAGAACCTAATGGCCGCTTCCGTATCGGTGAACACCGAGACAGAGTCAACCCAAAGGTATTTCTGGGTAAATGGAAAGTGATGAGCACGGAGAACAGCACCTGGTCGAATAGCAGCTGGTCGACAATTCTTTTCAAGAGAGGCTCCCTGGTGTAGCCATAATTCAGTCTGGATGATTGTAAACATGAGCGACGCTCCCAAAAAATGCACTACCGAAACAAAGACACCAGCGTTCGCCCTTCTGCGCAAGTCTGCAAAAGAGCGTGCCCTATCCCAGGTTTGGAAGGAGGGAGCGCTCGCAACGAACATGACAGCCAACTCAAGCTCGTAATCCGGGTGGTTGATGGTTGGCTACGTTGTAACGAATTCGGTGCTGGTGTCCTGAGGTCAGCCGCTTCGCGTGCCATGGGGCAAAATGCACTTTAAGATTGCATTTTGAAATATCTTCGAGGAAGTTACTTTTTAAGATTGTTTTTTTAGGTTATCCGTTTTGTTTCCGAAGAAATCTGTTCCAAAAGCGGCCCAGCTTCAGAATTTTGTCGTTCCGGCCCGGTCACGGCGGACATATTTCGATGGAGGAGAAATGACAGAGGCTCGTGTAACATGCGATGTCACAGAGCACGTTCAAGAAAATCAGATGGTCAACGTTTCGGGAGCTTCCACTACATTTCTCATTACTATATCATACTTTTGTGACTTGAACACCAGATATTGTTACTAATAATAATAGTAGTAGTAGTAGTAGTAGTAGTAGTAGTAGTAGTAGTAGTAGTAGTAGTTTTTCAGTAGCCTAGTCATTTAAGGTGAACAGCCTGACCAGCGAATTGTTCTACTTAACGCTGATGCACACTGGCGACTAGCAGTGGTCGCGCGCCCATTTGCGACTGGTCGCAAACGGTCGCAAAGCGACTGCTTTGGCTAGTCGCTTCCTGACCGATTTTTCAGTCGCGTGACTGCAGTCGCATAGCTGCGGGAAGCAATCAGTGATGCTCAATTTTTGTTTGTTTTTTTTTTGTTTTTTTTTTCAACGCTGTGCGAGAACAAACGAAAACAATAAATGCGGTGCGCTCGGTCCGCTCCGTTCACTGAGCTGGCGGCGATCAGCTGATCGGCGCCGGTCTTCAGAGTTCTCGCTGATAACGAGGTCTGGACGTGACTCTCCAGTTTTGCGACTTCCGGTCGCTCGCATGCAGCCTCTGCCGGTGTGAACATCAGTCGCTTTTTGGTCGCCAGTCGCAAATGGTCACGCGACCGCTGCTAGTCGCCGGTGTGCACCACCCTTTAGACACGTCTCCACTTGATGCGTATATTCAAAACCGTAGGAATACGTATTGAGCTGGCAATTAGGTCAGGCTTCAAACTATTGGGAGTGTCACTGAAGGCGTCAATATCTCTGAAAGCCCAGTCCCCCCTTTCCCTTAAAAACAAAAAAGGTTAACGAAAACCAGGAACGCAATTTAGCAAATAAAGTAAAATTTAATTTGTTTTATTTAATTTTGTCTGTTTTTTGTTTTTTGTTGGTTTTTATGTGTTGTGTTTGTGTGTATGTTTGTGCTCATAAGGTATGGCATTACGGTACTTTAATTACGTAATAGTAATTAAAGTTAGTACTATATATATATATATATATATATATATATATATATATATATATATATATATATATATATATATATATATATATATATATATATATGGGAGTGTACACCTAAGGTCTCGTATTTCCTTGTTTTGACACATTATTAATGAGATCTAATAGACAATACTGCCAAGGGAAAGTATAGGGCAAGTTACTTCGAACTACTTGGACCATGGCCTAAGATGTATCTACAGAAAAAGGCAATAATCTTCGTGGCGGACTTTTTAGTGGAGACCGGACTGGACAAGACAGCCAGAGATGGATATATATAAAATGTGTATATTGACAGTAGAAAAGAAGTGTGCGTGTCAACATTTTATAACTGTGTGAACTGCTCTAAGAAAACTGTGTATTGGCATGACATTTGAACTGGTTTCAGTGTGATGTTTTTTTTTTATTTTTTTTTGGTATTGTTGATTTTTCGGCATTGTTCTGTATTATTCTTTTTTTCTCGATGCAGAACTTGTGATATGGAGTAGCCGAAGCAAGATGCACCTCCAGCTCTCCACAGCAAAACAGTTAAAACATAACGGAACAGAACAGAATATCAATGCGCTAGAATACCAAGGCGAAAGCCCTGGGTACCTTATCAAAGTTGAAACTGTACTAACATCGGCGTCGGCAGGAGTAATAGAAAAAATAATAACCTGATGAAGGAGCCACATAGCGCCATCACAGCGTTCCTGATCACGGGACTTAGTGACGTCCTCATGAACCTGTTATAACGTCATACAACGTGACGCCCCCTCATGGTGCCAATACGGGACGTCCCTTGGTCCGCTAATCTCGGAGGCAGTGTAATATTAGTTAGGGTAGAAAAAGCTTGCCATGTCTCTAATCTCCGAGGCAGTGCACAACCACCGGAGAACAGGAAACGTTTAGAGGGGCAGTGACGCTGGGATTAATACTGTTAGAAGCTTTCTCCTACCAGTAGTTTCAGACGAAGGCTTGATGAATAACGTGAGTTTTCTCACTCGTTAAAGTGCTTCCCAGATTGACTTCAGGCGTACTTGTGCCGTGAAAGCCTTGATCTGTGCTTGAAACGTGCTTTGTTGAATCAATTTCTATTTTTTCTTCTCAGGCTGTGTACCAAGATGCATTGAAGGAAGTAGAAGGCTTAGAGTCAATTATAAACAAACTTAACAGCGGCAAGATATATATTGGGAGGAGCCATGAAATTGAAGTTCGCAAGTTGTGCTTAGCCCTTCACGAGTTCTGGTAAGTTTTATTGTATTCTTAAGTTGACTTATTTGGTCGTATTTTAATATAGGACAACCCGTCAGGGCACATTAAAACAATCAACTTGCGCAACAACTCTAAGGACATACGATTACACGCAAGTCATATCACCTTTATAAAAATTGTCACCAATATTTTACATACTAAAAATAAACTTATGGATTCCATACAGCCCTATAGTATCTTATAACCTTCAAGAATGTGAGGATAAAATGCCTGTTGCAGGAAGTTACTTCGAGGATGAATTCGTGAAGTGACTTCTTCATCGGTATGTCTTTACTGCGGTGGGGTAGGCGCTTATAATGTCAAGTCCTATTTGAATCAACAGGGCGCTGTACACAGCTACGGGAGCATGCGCGTGCAGAATTAGCTGCTATAAAACATCGTTGCCGCGATACGCAGGTTTCGGAAAAAATTGGCGGGGCTTAAACGGCCACGAGTACTCAAACTTCACAGAAGGAGCTACTCAGAACAAAAACTCTACGGCCCGTATTCAAAAACCGACCTTGGCCTTACCTCACGTTTTTCTCAGCTTCCTATACTGACTACATGCGTTATAAAGACACAAAAATGGTAAAAAGGCGAAAGGTAAGAACAAGACTGGTTCATGTAGACTAGTCCAATTTGTTTATCATGTGCAATAAAGGTTTAAAACCAACAAGGAGAACTCGAGGAAAGTATCTACTGATGCTCGTCGCTGAGACATGGCTCGTTTAGTGTGAGTAGGTGAAACGGTACGAGTACTCTGCTCGGATTGCTTTCGGAGAACACAGCGACGCCGGAGCTCTATATGCACTGCACGCTAAGTCTGGTTAACCCATTTTAAGGCACTACGTATCAGTGTATATTTGCGCTATTGAGTATGATACGCAATAATTTATGGCTTTATATGCAATCAGTTCAACATCGTGTATGTGGGGGGGGGGGGGGGGGGGGTAACATTCGCACTGACTTGAAGACATTTGCGGTATTTTTTTTCTTTTCATGTATGTAATGCGCTTGTTCAATTTTGCAACAGTATTTACCCAGACTTGTTTGCTCCTACTTGTACACCATCTATAAGGGGATTGTACTTTCCTCAAGCGAACTAGTTTGCTTTTTCGCCCAAGCTTACCCACATCTTCGCGATGTAAATAAACTTTGATTTGATTTGATCGTAATGAGATGTTCATGGTACTTTAACTATAAACTACTGCCTGTCACGGGTTTTTTCTTGTATTGACGGGCGCTGTTCTTCCAGTTCCAGAAAAGCCAGAAATCCGGACGTTCGAAAGCGCATGCTGGATGCTGTGCGGCACGAACTCTCCATTTCGTGTCCGCTCTTTGTGTGGGAAGAGGTGGAATTCTCAGCTCCGGTAGAGCAACCTCTTCAGGTGATTTCTGGCTATGGTATAGTAGTGAAGTACTGTGGGCTGCCTTATATGAACAGAAAGTTGAGCCCGCTATCTCATCGGTTCGTACCCACGACTTCAATCTGGCGGCGTATTACGATCATCTCGACAAACATTTGCCTGCGAGTGGAAATACAGTACACAGTACAACATTCTACACCCTTAAAAGGTTTTTACCATGTAACTTGTGTGCTTGCACTATTAGAAAAGGGCATTTTCGCATATGAACACAAACATATCACGCTGGCTTGACAAAGGTCCTAAACACCATTTTGACTGAAAAGCTCGGAAATATATAGGTCGAGAGCCTGAGAACATTCAGCTGCGTCAGGACTGAGTGATTGAATAACGCACATACATGCCCTACACACACACAAGCATAATATAGTTAAGCAACAAGGGAACAGAGCGTCGGCGCTGTAGCTTCATAAACCTATCATGTCACATGTATAGCCATAATACAACAGCTGCTTAGTACCGGTGGAGATATTCCACAATCAGACGAGAAGCATTCGTGGAACAAGCGTAAACGTATGGTCGGCTTGTGGATAGCCTCAAAACAAACATAGAGAGAGAGAGAGAAAGGAAAGGCCGGGAAAAACATAAATGTTACGAGTTCTAATGAGCTGGGGACATTGATTTCTAATGGGCCTTTGTTTTGTTTCATAAACGCACAAGACCACTAGCTCTCGAAAGGTAGGCAAAAAAAAACTAACCTTTATGTAAACGAACAGCTGATTTACACTGAGGTTTATGTTTACACTGAGGCATTTACACTGAGGCATATGTTCACACTGAGGTTTTTGCGAATTCACTGCTACCACCGATGTCCGTAACCACATTCGCGCTATAAAGGAAAATGATGACCAGGGCCAGTCATTTTCCACACGGTTGTGGAGGAAAGGGTATGACAATGTACGCGACAGGATTTTCACGTTACTCATGTCATGATGAGACAATCATATTCGTCAAACCAACTTCCTTAAATATTTTGGTGTACATCAAGTTAAGGAGGCGATTTCAAGAGCACGCAGACGTGCGCGTCTAGATAAGGTATAGGTAGATGCGTGCATAGAAACGCTCAAAACGCCTTTGCTCCCCTAAAAAAACGCGTCGCATTCAATACGTATAGCTGTCAGTTGACGCAAATTTACACCCCACTGAAATCCATTAGTCTCAACACGCTGCCTGTAAAAAGTGTGTCGGCCATGAGGGATGCTGGAAAAATTGGACAGATCCCACGTACAGTGGAAAACGATCATATGCGAGGCACGAATGGGCGAGGTTGATATGTCACTTCAAAATCATCACAATTTCACTAGGCATACCGACGTAGTGCACAGTAAACACAAGTTGAAACTATAAGCGCACTCGCGTACATAGATAAGATGCAAGTATATTGTTTATATTCGCGTAGCGATCGCTCCACTAGCGTTTGCAGCACCACCACTGGCAGTAGGTGGAACGTACATCACTTCCATTTCATAATTATCATTTCTGCGCCTGGAAATTGTGTCCGTCGTCCTTTCACGTCACGTAATACCAAATTTGGTATATCTGAAGCTAGTGAAACGGCCGTGAGTGTGCTACGAGCGTGGCATGCAATAATGTTTTACCTGACAGGCATATCACGATTAGTATGGTTCGACGTGTCATTTACCTTCTTCGCCCATTCACATCAGGTAATACACAATTTAGTATATGTGAAGCTATAGCGAAACGGCCTCGAGTATGAGCGTGGTATGTAGTCATGTTCTTATGTGACACGCATGCCATGATTGTCATGTTTGGACGTGTCATATACCTTCGTCATCCGTTCACGTCACGTAACACCAAATTTGGTATATGTGAAGCTAGTGAAACAGTCGCCAGCGCATCATGAGCGTGGCATGTAGTCGTGTACTTATGACAAGCGTGTCATGATTATCATGTTTTCACCAGTCATATATTTGCGTCATCCATTCACGTCACGTAACACCAAATTTGGTCTATGTCAAGATGGCGAAACGACCGCGAGCGTGGCGTATGGTCATCACTTACATGAGATGCATGTCACGATTTCCACGTTAGGGCCTGTCACTCATGTTTGCTAAGCAAGCATGTCATGCCATGTCAGCTTTTCAATGTCATGTGAACAAAACCACCACAACAGCAGAACGATCATGACATGTAAATTGTGACATTCATGACATACATGTTATGATTTTTATGTTATGATTATCCACTTATGCTCGTCATACATTGATGTTATGCAATAGCAATTTTGGTATGATCCCATTATCAAAATGGTCAGCAGAGTTAAAAGTTGTAGGCAGCTAGACAGACCGACAGAAAGACACGGTTGAAGTCGCTGAAGTTCGCTGAGAAATGCTTCGCATTCAATTTTTTTTTTAACAACTGTGCAGATGTTTACATGCTCGTTCGGGAAATGGGACAAATGTGAGACTCGAATGAAGTTCATTCAAATAACAAACTACGGCCTCTTCATACATACCAGTGGACACTCTTTAGGAACGCACACACACACACGGGGGCGCTTGACTACTTCAAGTAACACGTTTCTTGAGACGATTACACTTGTCTGCTCGGTGACGTTCATCTGGGCACATCTTGCTGTTTGGATGCTTCAAGAACACTGGCTGGCATATCTTGAGAAGACTATGCTTGATACTAACCAATAAATGTAATCAAGTAATCTTCAATTTGTTTCAGGACACTGGCAAAAAAACCCCAAAGAAGCAAAGTGAAAGAAAGAAAAAAACCAAACAAGGGACCTCGGCTAAAAAAGTCATCTGCCTATGCAATGCTCAAGGTTTGTAAGCATGCTCGGGAACGAGGGACAAAGAACAAGGGGAAAAAAGCGGAATTGCTTACACAAATTTCTTATTTCGTCGCAGGCGAATATACGTGCGATATGCTGACAACTTCAGGTGGGGTCAGGCAAATGACAGGCCATCAGGAGAAAAGCCGTACTTTACAAATCATATTGCACTTTTACTAATGCGGCAGCCATATATATTGTTACGGGAAGGAGACTGACTCAGAGGGGTAGTCACCGATCACCGATGTATTTACAGCCGGTTAGGCGAGCAGCGCCAGCCACACCGATTAGCTCGTGCCAGTCTATCTGCTTCGTCTTCTTCAGCTCCATGCACTGGCACGTAGCATGACCCCCGGCGGCGGAGGCACCGTCCCGGTGCTTTAAAGGTTATTTGACGCATTATTGTAGGGCTTGATCCGTGAGACGTGTACGATATCACTGGGTTGCATAGTAGATGATGTACAGATGGGGCGGATCTCGTAGGTGACAGGTGTTACTTGACGCAATATACGGTAGGGTCCCGTGTAATGAGAAAAGTTTTTCGGATAGGCCCAGCCGACGATGAGGGGACCAGAGTAAAACGAGGGTACCGGGAGCGAAATGTACGTCTCTATGTTCCGCATCGTACCGACGGCATTGGTTGGTTTGCGACGCCATCAGCCGAGCGCGAGCGAGCTGACGGGCATGATCGGCTTGCGCAATCGCGTCGCGTGCATACTCGCTGGTGGACGAAATGTGAGCTGAGATGACTGTGTCCAGTGGTAAAGTCGGCTCTCTTACGTACAATAAGTAGAACGGCGAAAAGCCCGCTGTGTCGTGACGGGATAAATTATACGTGAAAGTTGCGTAAGGTAAGGCAAGGTCCCAGTCTCGGTGGTCGGGCGACACGTACATAGCGAGCATATTTGTTAAAATGTGGTTAAATCGTTCCGCGAGGCCGTTTGTTTGAGGGTGGTAAGCGGTTGTCAGAGTGTGTTGCGTGGAACAAGAACGCAGAATGTCGGCAATGACTTGGGATAGAAATGTACGGCCACGGCCTGTGAGAAGCTGTCTCGGAGCACCGTGAATCAATATAACGTCCCGTAACAAGAAGTCAGTGACGTCGGTTGCACAGCTGGTCGGTAGAGCTCGCGTAACAGCGTAGCGTGTAGCGTAGTCTGTGATAACGGCTATCCATTTGTTTCCCAATGTTGACGTGGGAAAAGGACCAAGCAGGTCTAACCCAACACGGTAAAATGGTTCCGCGGGTATGTCGATTGGTTGAAGATGGCCAGCGGGTAGCCGCAACGGTGTTTTACAACGTTGGCATAGGTCACACGTGGCAATGTATCGGCGTACCGAACGAGCAAGGCCTGGCCAGAAAAAACGGCGCCGGACGCGCTCGTACGTGCGGGATACGCCAAGGTGTGCAGCCATGGGAGCGTCGTGAAGTTCGGTGAGAACACAGCGGCGCGAATGCTTAGGCACAACAATGAGAAGGTCGGGCCCGTCTAGTCGGAAATTGCGACGGTATAGCACACCCTTTTGTACGACAAAGTAGCGGACGGAAGCATCATTTGTGGAGGATTCCATACGGCTGATGATGTCAAGCAGCTCTGGATCACGCTTCTGTTCTTCCCCAATATTAAGGAAGTCACACTGACAACATAGAGTTCTCCGTGGGCTCGTCAGTGTCCTCAGGATCGTCGACAGGGTACCAGGAGAGGCAATCGGCATCACGGTGTAGGTGTCCAGATTTGTAGACCACCGAATAGGAAAACTCTTGCAGGCGCAAAGCCCAGCGACCAAGGCGGCCTGATGGATCTTTCAGAGAGTTGAGCCAGCAGAGCGCGTGGTGGTCGGTAACTACCGAAAATGGGCGTCCGTATAGATAAGGTCGAAATTTCACGACCGCCCATACAAGAGCCAAGCACTCACGCTCTGTTATCGAATAGTTACGTTCAGGGGCGGATGGGAGGCGGCTGGCATATGCAATAACGCAATCATGACCATGTTGTTTCTGAGCCAGCACTGCACCAATGCCATGCCCACTTGCATCTGTACGGATTTCCGTAGGGGCAGCCGGGTTGAAGTGTGCCAGAATCGGAGGGGTAGTGAGAAGAGCGACGAGAGTCGAGAACGCAAAAGCCTCTTCGAAGCCCCATGAAAACGGGACTTCTTTCTTGAGGAGCTGCGTAAGCGGCCTGGCTATGTGCGCAAAATTTTTCACGAAGCGTCGGAAGTAGGAGCATAGTCCGATAAAGCTGCGTACATACTTCACAGATCGTGGTACAGGAAAGTTTTTGACGGCACTGATTTTTGCCGGGTCTAGTTCTACACCGTTGGCGTCTACTAAATGGCCAAGCACTGTGATTTGATGGCGTCCAAAGTTGCATTTGGACAAGTTGAGCTGCAGGCCAGCGCGACGGAAGATTCCCAGGATGGCAGAGAGGCGCTCTATGTGAGTTTCAAATGTTGGTGAAAAGACGATGACGTCGTCCAAGTAGTACAAAGAGGTGAACCATTTAAATCCTCTGAGCAGGGAGTCCATCATTAGTTCGAAGGTGGCTGCAGCGTTACAAAGGCCGAAAGGCATGACCTTGAACTGATATAGGCCATCGGGGATGATGAATGCCGTTTCTTCACGGTCCATTTCATCCATCTCTATCTGCCAGTAGCCGGAACGAAGGTCTATGGAGGAAAAATAGTGGGACCCATAGAGGCAATCAAGCGCATCGTCTATTCGTGGTAGAGGGTAGACGTCTTTTTTGGTAATTTTGTTTAGGTGTCGATAATCCACAAAGAAACACCATGCACCGTCTTTCTTGCAGACTAGCACTACAGGAGAAGCCCAAAAACTGCAGGATGGCTCAATGATGTCCTTGCGAGCATTTTGTCGACATCACTTTGGATGATGTGACGCTCGGCCGCCGACACCCGATATGGACGCCTATGAATAGGATGTTCATTACCAGTGTTTATGCGGTGGCTCATACCGGTAACTTTCCGCAACGGACGGCCGCTGATGTCAAAAACGTCGATGTAGGACAGCAGAACCCGGTGGAGCTCATCAGTCTGCTGCGGCGTTAAGTTGGAAGCAATCATCGAAGTAATAGTTCTGTCGGAGCAAGTGGCAGACTGATGTTGAGCGTGGGGGTCAGAAGGGGCGGCCATCGCGAAAACATCTACCGCGATCCCCGTCGTTGTGCGATCCCCGTCCTCGCCACGGAACTCCGAAGTGGACGCTCCCTCACAGCTTACAACATAACCTCTCAAGACTCGGCTACATCCTCTCCGGTCGCTCCCCCTTCTACCCAGCACCTCCACCAAATATGTTACGGGAAGGAGATTGACTCAGAGGGGTAGTCACCGATCACCAATGTATCTACAGCCGGTTAGGCGAACAGCGCCAGCCACACAGATTAGCTCGTGCCAGTCTATCTGCTTCGTCTTCTTCAGCTCCATGCACTGGCACGTAGCAATATTATGGGTCTTTTCCTAGCATCATCACTTTATCGTGCATGTCTTATCGGAGTCAAATGAAAATCAAACATCGGCGCTCATTAACTAATATAGTAGAATGATGTGCGTGATCTCATAGTAAACGTGCCGATAGTTATAGCGCGAGAACAGAACGACAACAAAGAGACAAGGACACGAGCGCTCGTGTCCTTGTCTCTTTGTCGTCGTTCTGTCCTCGCGCTATAACTATCGTCATGTCATACCAACTAGCTCAAACTGCCACACTTCTAAGTAAACGTGCGCCGTGCACGCTGCCAAACCAGGTGGGGGCACATCTGTCAATGATGACGACCAGATGTAGGTCTCTTCTAATGCTCAACACTATTCCGTTTTTATTTGACTATGATACCTATCCCCTCTTCGGCGTTGTCAAAATAATCACGTGCTCCTTTAATTGGCGAACAAGGCCGCTACTGACGACTTTGCAGGAGCACAGAAACTGACACGTGCAATCTTTGCTACTGTCCTACCTACAAAAGGCTCAACGGCTTCCGAACATAAAGGGGCAAAGGGAGGGTGTGCTGCAGCTGTACCCATAGCTCGCCAAAACTTCTCATGCTCACTTAGACACCCTTTTTCAATATATTTGGGGCTTTGTAACAACTAGCTCTAACACTCACAAAAATATCCTTCAACAGGACTCACTCGGACTCCGGTTCACGAAAGCATTTCCAGACTCCTTCAGTACTAGTGAAAGGCTCTGGTTTTATTCACCCGATGTCAGACTCACGGCTTGATCCGATTCTCAGTGAGCCCGAGCGAGCCAACTCAGTCAGTGACTTTACCTACCTATGAATATAGCACTCGTTCTACAGTCGCACCTCGGCGAGTAGCGGTACCGCTGCTCAACGCTGTGAAAGTCGTAAAAGCCTCGGAGTGCGTCTCATCTTGCCAGCAGTCAACTGCGCCTCCACGGAATAAGTTCCTCGGGATAGCTTCCATAGTTTCATGGGCTTCGTAAATGTGAGCATAATGGCAGTTTGAGCTTGTTTCATCTGCAAGAAGGGAGTCACGTCAATGTAAACAAGTGTACTCTAGCCGAAGGAAACACGGTGCCTTTGGTCGCTTTCGTAGGCGTGGTTTATCCCGTCCGTACCATGACAGCTGGTGTTCGCGGTCAGCGAAAAGGATTAGTTTGTGGTGCAAAGGGTGCATCTGGTGCCTTGCTCATTAATTAGCGAGTGTTGAGTGTGATATATAGGCTGGATACAACTGTGGGACTTATTTGATATAGCTGTCTAAAGACATCGCGATTCGAACAGTACCTCAGCCGAAACTGCGAACTTTTCTATTTTTGATGTTTTTTTTCTCCGGTACCACTCCCTTTTTTCCTACTATTCCCCTTATGTAAGACTGTAGACCACGAATTGATCTTTTTTTTTTTAGTTGTCCTGACGTCTCCGGTGTGCCAAAATTGTTGAAGTTTCGCCAGAGTTGTCATTTATTGTTCGTATTTTCATGCCTTTCAGAAACTTTGGTCTGAAATCAACAAAAGCTCTGAATCGGATAAGAATAGAATGAGAGAGCTCCTCGAAAAAACTTATGAGGATCGCCGTGCAGTACCACCTTCTACTTTGCCCGAATTTTTCTTGGATGAATACATTGTAAGTATAAATGAATATTACTACTACACTACTACTAGTAGTATTAATACCAGTACTGCTATACTACTGCTACTTGTACTAATATTACTACTACTACTACCACTACTACTATGTTACTACTACTACTATTTCTACTAAAACACTACTGATGGTGTAGCAAGAAAATGTTTAGGCCGACCCTGATGGCTTTCAATCACTGCAGTGCAGTTGTCAATGGGCAATCCTTGTTCTACGCCAAAGACAAGAGCTTATTTACCGATTCGGTGCGCTCTTTCACTCAATGAAGGAATCTATAAAATCTGTTTTGTATCGCTTCATAGAAAATCTCACAAAATCGGAGGAGAGAGGACGTGGTGCCGCGGTACCAAATTCCAAATGCTGTTCGATCAGCAATACCCACTGCCCGATCACTTCGCGTTTTGGGGTGCCTACTGTATTCTCTTTAAATGTGATCTATGAGTACAAGCAAACCACGAATAATTGTCCCAATGGATTAGTTTTTATTGCCTGCGTGATAAGATTTTAGGCGTGCAACAGTAAAAGATTACTTATCTGCCTGTTTTTTTTCTTCTACAGCTCACCATGGAAGCTGAAATTCGATTTGGCTCGGATATCAGTGCCCTTGAAGAGAAGCTGCGTAAGATGGCAGTGGTGCTCTCGACTGCACTGAATCGAGACTTCACAATAAGGGCCGTCTGCGAATACCTAGACGAAGGCACAAGTCCTTCACTGATCACTGAGGTTTGTTCACAAGTTTTGGACGCTTCTCACCCCTCCGAGCTTTCCAAAAATCACAATCAGCTTGATTGCCCAGTTGTTCATTATTACCTCAACAATTAGCGTAGCTCCAAAATAAACACTTCACAAGTCGAGCATCATCTCACGTGCTTAAAGCTGTATATGCCCCCTTCCCTTTCCCGAGCTACTCACAAAAGCATCTGTTCTTTCTGTGCACTCACCCAAGTACTTTTGTTATTTATCTGACAGATAATTAGCCCTTAACTTAAGCCAACGTACGTTAATATGTCCTGTGTATTCATTATACATCTATGCTTGAATCAGAACTAAGTTTTGTATTGTTAGGTCATGGTAACTAATTTTGGCTGTGTGGCTACATTTTCCATAGAGGCGAAAATGTTTCAGGCTCGTGTATTTTGATTTAGGTGCTCTTTAGAGACCCCCACGCTATCTATGTATTCCGGAGCCCTAAGCTACGATGTTTCCTATAATCATATCGTGGTTTTGGGACGTTAAACCGTAGATACCATTTAATTATTTACATTGCTTGCTATTTTTTTCGCTTTTTAAAGATGGTTTTTGAATATTCGAAACATCGGAGCACTCGACAGGAAGTCCTTCGAATTGAAACGGCAGGTTAACCTGTTGCTTGTGTCAATAAGAAAAGAATCGCACAACAACAGCGTTCCGTGCAGTGTTTAAATATTTCACTAGTGCTCTCATGCCCTACATTTAACCATTTAGCCAACTCTTCTTCCACGCCCTAATACGTTCGGTGGCGTTACGGTGAAACGCTACAACTGCAACAGAATCATCTGCTTCGAAAATGTTGTGAACTTGATCGTCGGCCATGCTGCTCGAGAAGCTCTTCAAACGCATTCGTATTGTCGTTGAAACGCAAAAGCATTCCCATGAAAAAAAAAATGAATTCCGGCAGATGCAGTGCGTTACGCGAACCTTGGGGCATTTGGGGACAGCCCGGTCTTCATCAGTGCACACTGAACCATGAATAGTAAAAAGTGTCGTTTCAAACGAACCCGCTAAGATCTCTCGAGCGGAAAAAAAAAGACTGTTAGATGAATAGGAAGAAAGGCCGTACAAGTACACATGATCTAAATTAGGCGAGACAAGAAAGTACCAACCAGACACGATATAGTCACATTTGGAGCCAGTACATTACCAGACACACCACAAACTTGTGTATAAAGTTACGTGTCAGGCCCGACATTTCGAACCCCCGGTGCTGTTTCAAGTGCCAGCGGTTCGAGCGTGCGTCTCAAAGCTGCTGTGGGCAGCTCACTTGTGCAAAATACGCCGCAACAAGACACTTATCTGATGACTACAAAGTCGAAGTGGAGGCCCGTTGCACCAATTGTGAGGGAGCCCACCCCGCGTATTCAAAATCTTGTCCTTTCCGAAATACGGGAAAAAATTATCGCATTGAAAGTCCAAATGAACAATACTTTCCCGAAGGCTTGGCAAAGCGTATTACGAATCTTCGCACACAAAGAACCATTCGTCGAGAATTACTTTAATGGAGAGCTGGAGAAAAGTTTGCCTGTCATTCACCGGTGTAGTGCATAGGAGGGCAGCACTACAATGGCCTCAGGCAGTCGCTCGTGCCACGCGTAATTGACTGAGGCAACAGTTAACCACCCCTACGGGGAGTAGCTAAGACTGCCTTGTCTCCTGTCATCAACAGGGCCACACCAATAGCCACTTCAATGTCCGGAAGCAGCCAGGCCAACGCCGCAGCTAAAAAGACTGCCTCTGGCCTGGTGGGGTCCAAGGCTCCGTTGGCCCTGACGAACCTTAGTCTACTAAGCACCGCTTGATAGAGCGATTGTCTGGCGCGCCTCGGCAAAGGCGATGGGCACTTCTTGTACACCGGCGTAGGCAGTGTCTAAATAGCGAAGAGAACCTCGCTAACGCCGGCAGTGGCCCCCGCATTTCGATATAAGCAGAATGCTGGGAGCCCATGTATTTATATCTCGGTTCTCGTTAAGGTTGCCCTAGGTAGATGAAATTTTCGTCGTTTCCCACACTACTTCGTCCCAGATAATCATAGCATAACCTTTGGACGCCTAAACTTAACAATTTTAATGAAAGAATGATATAACACATCGTTTTTTGGAGTTGCAGTTTTCCTGAAGTCCGTTAACACTCTCCGCAATGGGGTAATTCGTAACTGCTGCGTCGCCGCATATTACTTGCAGGGATTGGTACCTGTCGACAACAGAGACAATTCGCCACGCATCTACACGATGAACGGCCGCCTGTGGATATACACCGGTTCTCCGGGGAAGACTGTCGAAATCGCCAGCGGACGTATGGAGCGTGCGCTGGTACTGTGCCTGGTACTCTACTACATCAAGTACATAGACTACCCTGAAGCGTTCTGGCGAGTCATGTACGTGCTGCAGTTCGTCCTTATTCCAAGTGACCCTCCGCCCCCAGTTCCGACACGCAAAAATGTGCCAGTATGTCAGGTAACATATAAGATGCGGGGCCTGTTAGACTTGCTTACTTCTAACGTAAATCAAAGGGGACCAGACGCGAAGTGACGTGTGAAATTTTTCCACCACCAGAGGTGCTATGTCCACCGATGCATGCTTCGAAATTGTCAAGACTTGTATTCACTAATGTGTGCATTTTTCAGAGAGTTTCCCTAAATTCGCCTCTCACAAATTGTCCCGTTATCCAGACTCCACAAACGAATGCTGCTACTTCCCGTTTTGCACGTCACTTTTTTTTTATTTTTTGCGACAAACTGAGTAATTACTCTCGGCGTACCAAGAACGTGTTTGAGACTTTGCCGCTCAAAAAAGTTTTTGTGCGCCGCTCATATAGATTTTATAATTCAAGTATATGTAAAGGTGATTTTAAAACAGTTTCATTCTCATTTTACTGAGCATTACTTCAATTGTACACGCACATTTTATTGTTCAATGTTTCTTCTTCAACTTTTAAAATTAGATTGCATGTTTACCATGAATTACAGATTGCATGTTTATCATGTTTGCCATTGTGCTAATAATTTCGTGAAAGCACAAGCATTTCTACCATGGCGACAAATGTTTTACTTTCCCTCCTCTTTTAATTGCGTACTTCTCATGTTTCCATTGCTTACATTTGTTTTATAGCGTGCTTTGAATGTCACCTGTCTTGAATAGTACTCACGTTGGCGTGTAATCACCAGGTGCAATAACTTGTAAACTTCAAAACACTGTGTGTGCAATGCATTCGCTTTATGACATGTTTGTAGCGGTGGCCTCTCCATTGTACAATAGCTCAAAAAATTGAGACTGCCTGGATACGCAGCGATACAGTATTGTTGCGCGCGGCATGATTCAATAATCCGATTCCACGTAACGTGGCTTAAGAAAATACTTCACGTCGGTAAACGCATTCAGGTCTCTATAGGGCCACCCATAGAAATTTTCTGTGCCAAATTACACGAGGTATACTATCTCACCGTAGAATGTTGCGGATATTGGGGTTTCAAAACTTGTGTGTCAATCATTTGTGCCTGAAGAAATGTATTTAGTTGAAATAGCAGCAGGATTGTGCTTGTGTGTTTCGCTATTTTTTAGGCAATCTTTACTGTATGTGTGCTTTTCATTAAAATATCACAAGATTTTTGCCCCACTTGCATTTATTATAGAGTAACAAACAGTTTCTGCTGATACTGGACAAAATTGTTCGTATTACGCCATTATCCATAAGCGCTTCACTTTTCTATAGAGGTGAATATTGAATTTAACAGCTGTTTGGGCAACTATTTAAGTGGCAACTAACCATCTGGATTAGTAGGCTATGATGCATTTCGGAATTTTATTCCATGTGAATATTGAAATGTAAAGACGACGGTGAAAATTGAGGAAACATTTACCTTGAGAACTCTGGTGTCATGTATATTAAGTCAGTTTTCATAGAGAACTTGTTTCTTGTAGAAAAGCTTGAATGAACTGCTTTTACATTGAACTGTTATATTATTTATCATTTCTTTTTGGCGACCTTTTTTTGCTGCAGTTCATTGTAATGTGCAGGGACAGTGAAGGTTTTGTGCATCTCATTCAAGGCTTGTCACACTTTCAGAACGGGTGTTTAACGCACTATGCCACTGCGAAAGTCTTGAAAAAGGCTACACAAACGCACGTTTTGTTTCTCTCGGAGCACTCTTGTCCGCAGGGTGGTGTCACTGTTTAGAAGAGGAAGGTTGAGATCACGCGTGGCTTCCGCGATTAGCTCAGGCAACGCAGCGCTGCCATTTCAATCTTATTCGGTGCGTTTTCAATACAAGTGCACTCTTGTCAACGCCTTCGCACACCCCGAGGAGGCGGCTTCTACCCAAGCCTCGCTCATATAGCATCCACAGATTTCAAAATAACTCTCCGACGCTCGCCTGCCTATTCTGGCCTACCTGTACACCACGTTCCGCGCTCCAATTGTGAAAAACCATGGCCGGGCTACACGACATGCGCTGTGTTTCTCTTCGCGTTTCACGACGCTTTAAAGTGGCCCTGCAACGTTTTTTGAGCATGGTCAGAAAACGCTACATATTATTGGTAGTAGAGCCTCTCGACAAGACGTGATCCAAATATTATAGCACAGCACGCGGACTGAAATTCACAATACATTATCAAAGTCAGCTAAAACTTGATTTCTCTTCTCTCGACAAATCACGGAGTGTGCCCAAAAACCACACGTAGCTTGCACATCTATCAGCCATTGGCTGATTTGCTTCTAGTGGCTAAGGTACTCGGCTGCTGACCCGCAGGTCGCGGGTTCGAATCGCGGCTGCGGCGGCTGCATTTCCGATGGAAGCGGAAATGTTGTAGGCCCGTGTACTCAGATTTGGGTGCACGTTAAAGAACCCCAGGTAGTCGAAATTTCCGGAGCCCTCCACTACGGCGTATCTCATAATCATATGGTGGTTTTGGGACGTTAAACCCCACATATCAATCATCATTGGCTGATTTGAACATGGCGTGCTCGCTCGTTACAGGGATTGCCACGGGAGGCCACTACTTGTCCACGCGTGCGCGTGCGATCACACTGAGAAAGCGGCGCATTCGAAGAAAAAAAAAGTGCTCAAGGTCACAGGGCATGAGTGTCGTTTTTCTGTGGTCCTGCCATCCCTCTCTTAGCTTCCAGCGCTTTCTTCGGTACGAGAGATGAGATAATGGAACTGCAGCATGCGACAAAGTTTTGTAACTCTGCTTGCACTGAACGCATTCTTAAAATTTTTGTGGTGTTGAATTCGTCAAGCAAAAAGCTATTCCAGTGCATTCATTCCATGGTTACTTGAAAAAGTTTTTCAGGGCTATTTTAAAGCGGTGCATACTGAGTTGCGGTGTGTGTTATGTGTTGTTGCAGTCATGTTTGTGTGGGGTTCCCCGTATGTGGTGTCCAGGTATATGTTCAACAAAACTTCAGCTACCGCAAATGTCAAGTTATAATTATGAGCCACCTTAGTCATCTGGACGGAGATGTGGTGTTAGGCGTCAACATGAGTTGGTCCACATCAAGTGGTGTTATATCTGCCAAACACCGATAGACATTGTACTATCTCCCATGGATCACTGCACAATAAACAACCAACTTCTTCTGTAAAGGTAAGTTTCGCTTTCATGTTACAGAGATTCCTGTGACATGGAGGATCAGCCATCCTTTTTTCATTGAAGGTTGTTATTTGGGGATTCAAAGGCCGAAATTAAGTTTTGAGTTAGAAGCGCCCTTTGGTTGTCCTGTTTCGGCAGCCCACAGATGAACTCATGGCATCGACTTCCCCCGACAGAGCTAATTTGGCTCAAATCGGTTGGGAGGACAAGAACGTAGGTTAGAACCAAGACATTTTTTTCTTGCTGTCCTCTACAGCCTAAAAAGGTAACCCGATTGTTGCGGAGTCACCAAACCTAGCAGCAGTGTTCCGACATTCACAATAAGCGTAGTAAGGCATCGAATGAGTCATATGGGTGCCGTCAAAGATCCAAACACCGCAGTTTCGAGCCCACGGGAGAAAAAGGGATACCTGAAATTTGACGAAGCATTAAAAACATTTCCGTGAGCTAACTCGAGTTTTTCAATGTTTTGTCTAGCCACTAAGGCTTCTTGAGCATCGTCGTGTCCAGCATGTACAGCCGCCCATTTTTTTTTTTTTTTACCTGAACGCACGAGCGCCGACCACTTTCTATTAGCGCCGTATAACGAACCGTGGTGGCAAAATGAACGAGAATACGCGCATGCGTGCAATTAACAGTCCTAAGAGGTAATTTTTTTTTCCACACCGCACTGATAACCGGACACCAAGATGCCAGGAACAGCCGCTTATTGATTCGGCGGTCGACACTCGCCGTTCGGGCTAAAAAAAAAAGTGGGTGGCTGTAGTCGGAGAAGTCAAACACGACAGAGCTAACCATGAAAAAGTTTTACGCGAGTCTCTTGTACTATTAAAGAAAAACTTTTGTCCGAATCGTCCACGTGGCCCGCCAAGCCATCAATCTTATTTGCGTGGCTGTGCGACATATAAAACTGCACAGAGCTAATCATGAAGCTATGCTAACTTCATGCTGTCTAAAATGACGTGTGCGGATGTAAAAAGTTGGAGCACTCTTTGTCTTCGCCTTCAAGAGTAGAGTGAGATGACGTAATCGGGCCCTGTGCCTAATCGGACCTTCTCACTGCCAAGTATTTGGAGGTTGTAGGTATAGTCGGCGGATCTATCCTTACGAAATTTGCAGTCAAGTGCCCCACTCGGTTTCCTCTTTGCTAGTGGTATTAAAATAATGTTTCTTTTGTATGTGTGTTTGTTTTCAACTAAGCTCAGGCATGTTCTTAGGAAGTCTCATTGCTATTCTGTACGTACTGGTAGATGTCACCACTTGCATCTCCCGCTATACTTGCGCCTACATTGCATGTATATTAGCTATAATATTGGCTAAATAAATATGGCTAAGCCGTCGCTAATATTGATTATGTACTGTTATAGCATCGACAATGTTTTGAATGCGTCGTAATACAATGAATAGCGTTATCTACTTCTTCGGAGAAGCATTCCTGTGTATACCTAGATCTATGTTAGGGCTGGTTAAGGTAATCCAGCTGCATTGGTCTGGTACTTGCGAACGAAAACGATAATATTAGCGCTTCTATTTGGAGATCACAACGAATAAGAATCTCCGTTTTTGTCCGCGTACAAGAACATTTGTCATTAAACGAAGACGCGTGCGGCGATAAACGCAGACACTAATGGCAAGACATTGTTTCTATATGGGTCATCCTAATATCACTCTTGTTGCTAGGGGCCCGAACCTTGCACAAGGGTTGCTGTGCTCCTAGACCTTGATCATAACCTTTAGAAACCTACTGCACCGGCGCTCCTCACGGTTAGCTAATATATTGCGAAAACGCTCGGTTCGCTTAAGGCACGAGGAACTCCCAGTCATCTAAAATCAATCCTCGAATGAAACCTAATATTTTGAATATGTGTACGACATAATTCAAAGCAATAGTTTGCAAAATTCACTCGTAGGTCCTGCCTACACTGACAGTTTTCTACAGGGTAGAAAACGAAGAAAACTCAATCTGCTGCATGTCCGTGTGAAGGGAGAAGACACTCCCCTCTAAATTCTGAAGTTGAAGATGTTCCCCGGAAGACATGTTTTGAAAACTCGATAGGTTTCACAGACAGACGCTACTGTAAGCCGAAATTCGGGGCCCGTGCACGCTCAACCATTAGGGCACGAGTACTCGCAGTGAGCTTAGCGAAGGGAGACGCGTGTTTCTTTGAGAAAAACTTCGTGAAACTCGCCCGCGCCCCGTTTCCCGACCCTCGAAGCAGAGAGACGGCAACCTTATTGCAAGGGTTTCCCTAGAGTTCCTCTATATGCTACTTTTAGGTATGCTACTTAAAGGTAGCATGTACAGTAGCTCTAGGTTTTCCCACTGCGCGGTGGTGTCCTACACACATGCAGTGAATATACTGTCTCTCTCTTCCGTTTCTCTTTTCTTTCTCTCCCCTCCTTCATTATTCTTGTCCTCTCCTGTAACATGGCCCCCAGTGTGTAGGGTAGCCAACCGCATGTCTTTCTCGTTAACCTCCCAACCTGTCTGCTTCCTGTCTTCTTTCCTCGCTTCCAACCCAGACTAGCTCGTCCATATGGTACGAATTGATTTTTTAGGTCGGCATGTCAACGATGGCATAGGGTAAACCACACCCCGCAATAATTGAGCAGTGCAATTTTTCAATCGCTTGAGGTGCAGGTGGAGTTGAAACTGACGATTCCTAGCGCAATAACAACCTTTCCCGCTTCTTATTGCTTAGCTCGGTGAGGTAATTCGTTCATTAATGGTGGCGTGTGCAGGCCACCACTGCGATGCCGTTCTGTTTACATACAGCATCTGCTCAAGCAGCACCCTGCTGCCGCCGTACGCTTTACGCAATATTTTCGAATAAAACTAGTTCTTGGGCTAGTTAGTGCATTGACGAAATATAACCAGCCAAAAATGAACCAACACGGGGAATCGTAAAAGGGAAGCGGCCAGACTACCAAGTCTTAATTATAGTCAGCAAAGTGGGGCTGAATAAAGAATATTATTATCTTTAGCAGTAATAGTAATAATATTTGTACTAATAATA